AATACTTTCTAATGGTAAAAGTTTATAAAATTCTGCACAAACAGGAAGTAAAAGCATCACTAGGGGTCATGAACAAGTATTAAAATATGGGTCTATAATTGAGATACTTCCATTATTTTACATATGTTCACCTGTACTGTAAGATTTTCTCTTGAGGAAAAGTGATTTTGTAAGTGAACGCACTCTGAGTTTGAATAAAGGTACTAAAGACATATGTTATTTTGATAAACTTAGAGATTTATTATATGTTGTTAAAATATGTTTGCCATCTACAGGCAAATATGTGAGGTAGAAAATGGAAGCCCTTTTTGAGAAATTTTTTCTTTATTAAAGAGCTCTAGCATTTGAATATGTCAGTCTTAGTAAAGTAATGAATTGAAATAACTTCTTATTTATATGTACCACATCACTTCAGACCCTCTCAGGAAAAGCTAAACAAATGCCTGATGGAAAATTACACTGAGACCTCTACCGACTTCATCCTCCTGGGCCTGATCCCCCCATCAAGCCTTGGCCTTTTCCTCTTCAGTCTCACCATCCCCATCTTCCTGATGGCCCTGGCTGGAAACCTGTGCATGGTCCTGCTCATCCTCCTGGACACCCAGCTCCACACACCCATGTACTTCCTGCTCAGCCAGCTCTCCCTCACGGACCTCATTTATATCTGCACCACTGTGCCCAAGATGGCTTCTGCTTTCCTCTTTGGAAACAAGTCCATCTCCTTCATTGGGTGTGGGGTTCAGTGTTACTTTTTTTGGAATTTAGCAGGTTCAGAAGGACTGATCCTGATGTCTATGTCCTATGACTGTTACATGGCTATTTTCTCCCCTCTGCACTACCCCATCTGTATGAACAGAAGAGTGTGTGTGCTGATGATCCTGGGATCCTGGGCAGTGGGTGCTGTCAACTCCTGTGCTCACACGGTTTATGTCCTCCATATCCCTTACTGCAGGTCCAAAACCATCAACCATTTCTTCCGCCATCTCCCATCCATGCTGACTCTGGCCTGCATGGACACCAGGGTCTATGAGCACACGGTGTTCATTAGCACTACCCTCTTTCTTGTGTTTCCTTTCCTGGGTATTCTGTGTTTCTATGGTCAGGTACTTGATGTCTACCACATGCACTCACGGGAAGGCAGGAAGAAGGCCTATTCCACCTGCAGTGCCCACCTCACTGTGTTGACTTTCTACTATGCACCCTTTGCTTATACTTATCTCCACTCAAAATCCTTCCAGTTTCCAGAGGAGGACAAGGTTCTGGCTGCCTTCTACATCTTCCTCACCCCAGTGCTCAACCATGCGATCTACAGCCTGAGGAACAAGGAGGTGCTGGGGGCTCTGAGGAGAGTAACTAAGAGAATCCACTCTCTGAAAGTGTATGCAAGTTTCTGCCCCAGCACTCAGGTGCATGTTGATGCTGTGATATGCAGACATTAAAGTGTTATTTTACACCTAAAATTTAAAAAGTAAAATTTAGAAGGTAAATTTAGAAAATTTAGAAAGTAAAACATTACTCATGTCTGAAAAAATATCTTATGTATAAATAAGTAAACATGACCATTTTGTAGTTTATTTTCTACCAATTTTGAATGCATTTGTTTTCTGCTAATCTGTTTTCAATGAGAATTATTTTTAAAATAAAAAGTAAATTATATATCTGGAGTTGCATACTGGATAATAATTTTACTATGATCATCTTGTAATATTTTTCAATTTTTTTATACCAACAATAGAAAAAATATGTTCTGAATGAGAATATCTTATCAGATGCTATATGATTTCTCTCTTTCTGTCATTATTTTAGAATTTTAAGTACTACATGAAAGTAGAAGGATTTGTACCAGATCCTTCTACTTTCATGTTAATAGAGTGATTTCTCACAGGCTTTATGAGAGATTCTGTAGTCCTTACTCTGGATGGCATTTGACAGAGCCATGCTGCTTATAGTGGAAAGAATCCTAAGGGAGGGACCAATGAGAGGACTGGACGTTGCCAACAGACATCAGAGATAATGAGAAGTCAATTATAAGATGCACAGGTCAATTGTTTAATCTAGGGGCAGGAATTAGGGATAAAAATCAGCCCTTCCATCCTCCCCCATGCCCAGCACACTGTACTGATACCCATGCAGCCACTGCTGTGTATATATTTTACAAGTTCTGTCCAAGCAAGTTTGGTTTTCCGCTTGCTGCTTGTCTGGTCTCTATGAAAATGGATTACAGAAATACATCTGTGAACCGGTTTTATTCACTGATATTGCTTCCTTATCATTTCCTTAATCAGGTCTGACGATGACATCCAGTAAAATGTTTCAGCATAGGGCTCTTCCTCCACAGAGTGCTAATGCTCTCCAGCAATGACAAGAACAGAAGAGTGTTACTCTGGAGCGGTAGCAGGGAAGGGAAGTGGAAAGTTCCCAAGGAATTTGGAAGATCTATGATAAACTTAAACTATGAAGCCATCCTTTTGAAATAGCACAATGTACCATTAAGGGACTGAAATATAAAGAGTTTTGTGTTCAAAATTACTAGTTATTATTACAATTGCAAACAACATTGTGCTATTCTCAATATGTATACTATAACTAGTAACATTTTATCATGTAGTAGGTTTATTCATTTTAAGACCTGTGTGGCTTATTTTCCTCCAAATTTACTTACCAGATCATACAGAGTTTACTTTGAGAACTTTCCTTTTCAATCTGTAAAACTGAAAGTGGAATCTCATTGTTAGAAAATGTGACAACACTGGTAACTTAGGAGAGTTTAATACAAGGATCATGGTGATTGTGTTTCTGGAGTTTTGAGCAATGTGTTCACCTACAGAAACACAGGGATATGTTCTGTTATGTAACTACAAAAAGACACTGTTTGGAGATGTTCATTCTCATGGAGCATTTTTTTTGAGAGTTACCAAAAATGTGACTCTCTACATAAATCATTTTCCTTTTAATCTGAACTTGAACTTAAAGATTTGTGTAAAGGTGTATTTTTTCTAAGTTGTTGGGAATCCAACCCAAGTTCTGGTAGGCAAGGTTTCTACCACTGAGCTTTAGTATACTGTACATAATTTTTATCGTATACAATTTTATTAACATTTTGCTCACTGTATCCACATTTGTGGTAACTTGTGAATTTTTTTTAAAAAGGGCCCATTTTGGAGACAAGCTTCAAATCTCATTTATGTTTTCTAGCATTGTATATTAAAGTAAAAAGAAATTCATTTAAAAGTTTTATTTTTTGTATTTGGATTATGGAACTCTTTGTAGTAAATAATATTTTACATATGAAATGATCATTTGTTTTAATTTTCAAAATGTTAAAAGGTATTTCATTATCTCTCTAGTTTTGACATACAGATGTCCCTTTTATCATGCTGTAGCAATTTTTAAGGCCATACATTCTGAAATTAATAATTTTTTATAAATCCTGGTTACTTTTTCTTGCAATGATCATAAATGCACATTTATTTTGTAATAATTTAATGATAATGTGTCATCCCTAAACTCCCAGTCATTTCTAGTCAGGAAGTGAGTGCTGTGTAGACCTTATAGGAGTGGGCTCAGAACAGCTGAGAATTCACTTCCATGGCTGCTCAGTGCTGTTGCAGTGAGGTCTCTGCCCTCTCACCGGCAAAGATCCACATTCACCCTTGTGTCCCACCTGCTGTTGCTGCTGTGATCACTAGACTGATGAAAGCCCTTTTTGATGCAGCCACTCCCTGGGAATGCCACAGTGCCACACTCTTCCAGGGTAAATGTATGTGTACATGAGGAGGACACACCAGTTTCTATTTTACTTGAGAATAGGTGTGAAACTCTGCTGTTGGACCAAAACTATGTTAATCCCATCACTCTGCACAGTCTTTTAGTTTAATGTCTGCTCTGGGACACCATTATTAAGCATTTCAGTATGCCGAGAGCAGAGCCTGAAACTGAACACTTGACTCTTTCAACTGTGGCACCCTGGGCATGTTCACAGGTCACATGACATGAGGCCAGTTCTCTAAAGGATGGAATACTTGTGCAGGAAGGGAAGCAAGTTATACAAACTTGGAAAATAAAGGGAAATTCAGATGTCAAAATTCTAACTTTCCAGTCATGGTGTTAAATGAGTGTGATTATGAGGTTATGAGGGAGATTTTTACAGTGAGTGGCCTTGTTGGTGTGACTTTATTTGAACATGTGGTTCAGAAGCCTTTGGAAAGGGCTTGCAGGAAGAGTTTGGAAAGGTATGTATGCACAGGCTCCAGAAGGCATAGAATGCTGCCAGTAATGTTTGATGGGTGATGCTGGTCAGAGCTCAGGAAGTGAGAATGCTGATAAACAACAGGCACAGTAGAGGTCAGGCTGAGGAGTTTTCAGATGGAAACAAAGACTCCAGTGGGAGCTAGAGTAGAGGCCATGTTGTTACGCTTTGGCAGATAATTTGCGTACATTTTTACCATGTATTGAGACCTTGAGGGAGACTGGGATTAAAGATAGTGGACAACATAATCTAAAGGAGAAAATTTCAATGCAGTTCTTCATTGAAGCTGTGGCATGAGTACTGCTGACCACTCTCAGCCTGAAGAACAGTGAGAATCAGGAGCAAAAAGCAGAGAAGAATGATGTGAATCTTGGACAGAAAGGAAATGCCTATAAAGCTGAGGCAAAGGCAGTGTGATTTCTGAAAAAGAAGCCACATATTCAGCATCAAAGAATAGGAAAGACGGCTTGAAGGCACTTCAGAAATTGACCAGACCATCCCCACTGTAGGCTCAAGGGTGGAAAAAAAGTAAAGCCCTTTGAAAGACTTAATTTTGAAAGGAAAATATCAGGATTTACTGCTCACTAGAACAGCACTTCCTAGTAAAGTATTGCACCAAGATCAGCCATTCAGGCACTTGGAAGCTGCGGAAGCCATGGTCCAAATGGGAACAAGCAAGGTCAAACTGGGAGCAGATCTTTGTGCCATCCACATTGCCCTGGATTTTCAGGAGCTCTGAATGCAAGAGGTATTGAATCACAGAGGCTTCCACTCAGATTTCAGAAGAAGGCTCTGGAGCACGTGTCTCACCACAGCTTGCTGTGCATGCTGGACATGCAACTATATAATTGAATGAATGCCCTGCTGGGTTTTCCTCTTATTTGGTTTGATTTTTTTTATATCTCCCTATTCCCCTCTTTGAGAGTAGAAAAGTTTACTCAGTCATGTTATAGATTGGAATTATATAATTTTTTCCCACATTTTACAGAAATTTTCACAGAGAAGAGCTGCCTTGAGTCTCAGAAGAGACTTGGGCTTGGGCTTTTGAAAAATGATGACATTTTTGAGACTTTGAGGAATAGATGATCTGCATTTCAGGTTGTATACCTGATAGGTAGAATTATAAACTTGTGATTGTCTATTTGCACATTAAATGTAGTTTAAGATGTGTACAAATTTGGGTTTAAGATGCTATCAAGAGTTGTGACCATCAGTGGACTAAGAAATGCCTCACAGATTACTGAAGCTCACTCCTGGGTGTGTCCAGGTGTGTCAGGGAGGTGATCTTGGGTAGTATATAAGGTCCCTCACCGATTTTCTTCTCCCACCATTCCAGTGTCTGCTTTCATTCCTCCAGGAAATCTCTCCACACCACCTACAGTTAAATGCTGGCTCATTGCAAGTCACTATTCAGGTCAGGACACTCTCCTGGGTCCCTTTCAACTGAGCAGGGTAAGTGTGATCCTAAATGTTCAGCTTCCACTGTCTCCCTTCTCTTGTGCTCTGGTTTGATCTGTGCAGTCACCATTTCTTGGCTTCCATGTTGTGAGCGGTTTTGCTCAAATCATTTGCTTTGAAATACAGTAGATGCTGGCTACATGTGGATTTTCATATTTGAAATACGGACAGTACAAATTTTAATATATTCCAGCAAGAAACATACACAAGAATGATGAAATAGAATAAAAAATATACTAGCAGAATATTAATTTCACATTAATTATATAGAAAGCACAATGTCAATATAAGCATAATGCTACATAAGAATATGTGCACAAACATATGATATAAGATATTTAATTATAATTGTAGATAATATACATTAAAACAATTCTTTTAATATTAATATGATTACAATATCATTTTGAATAAAAAATTACTACAGTATCATAGAGTAATTGACATATTTTTTAAACTAACACTGTGTTTTAATGTGTCACTAAAGATTTTAAGTCACACAGGTGCATCCTACCATGTTTCTATCAGACATCACTCTTGCATAGTGTATGGCTAAGCAAAAAAAAAAAAAAAAAAAAGAGAAGTAAAGGAAGCAAAGTAGGGCCTGCAGGATCATTTGTTCTTGGAAAATAATATCCCAAACACTCTTTCCATGGTCCCCAGCACCTCCTTGTTCCTCAGACTGTAGATAATAGGGTTCAGCATAGGCATGAGGATAGTACAGAAGACAGCCAGGACCTTATCTTCCACTGGGGAGTGCAGAATCCTGGGCCACAGAAAGTGAAGACAAAAGGAGCATAGTAAATGTCACCACTGTTAAAAGTGTGGAGCATGTGGTGAAGGCCTTTTTCCTTCCCTCTTTGGAGCGCATGTGGAAGACAGCAAAAAGGATGCTTCCATAAGAAGCAGTGATG